AGGGAATAGGACAGTGCAACTCTCCATCATTTAGACAGCAGATTGCTGTACAATGAGTAATTTTGGCAAAGAATAAATCTAAACAGCAAAGTCTATGGTAAAGCCCTGATCCTGCAAAGCATGTTAAGTATCCACATAAATTTCAGCTTGAATAGGTTTTACTGAAGCAAATTAATCAGGACATTCAGCCTTCGTTTCCAAAAGGGACGTCTTCTCTGCTGTAGCCTCAAGGAGTCCTGTGATATTCTTTTAATTGGCCTCGTGATCATGGGACAAGTTCAGCCTGTGGATACACACTCACCTCTACTTGGACTTAAGCAAGCATAACCCATCTCTTCCAAGGCTGAATTATCTTCTAAAAAATTCATTTGTCAAAAATGAATTGATCATATGCACCTACCAGTTATAATGCCAGTACTTCGATGGTAAATAAGAATCACCAAATATTCATTACTTCAAAGACAACAGATGTTCCCCAGTGGCAAGTTTAAATTCATCTTTTTTTAGAAGGTCAGCATTAATCTTAACCAACAAACTAAAAATAACCCCCCCCAAAAGTTTCAGGGAAGCATTTGCTAGGAGTTTTTAAATGACAGCTACTCTGTAATGTGAGGCCCTACTCCACATTCGCAAGTGGTAAATGCCTTATTGAAGTGGTTATTACGTTAAACAGAACAAGAGGCAGCTGGCACAGGAACAACTCAACTTCAGCAGTTGGCCGACACATCAGACAAAGTCCTGAACTCACTGAAATTCACGGCAAAACTCTCACCCGGGCAGGGCTGAAGTCCACCAAGACTTCTGCATCAGATTCCTTGGTTATTTTTAGGACTGTACAATTGCCTCTCTAGGCAGTCAAGAAAAAGTAAGGATTTTCAAGAAGTAAGGATGTTTTTTGTTCCCTTCTCTGGCAACTTCACTCAGTAAGGAAGAGCACTTCAGAAATGGGAAAGGAATGAAAAACACTTGTCCAGCAAAGGCCTCTCCCTTACATTGCAAAAATGTATTAAGCATAATTTTTTAAAATAATACCAAAATGTACTTGACTTGCGATGGCATTTCAGTCCCGCCTGAGTGCTGTGTGCATGGGCAGGCCAGGAGCAGAAGGGCCAGCAGCATTAGGGTCTACCCTGCAACCAGTTCATGCAGTCCTGTTTGTGGGGTTTAAAATATTTCAGGCTCTTCAGAGGCTCTCTGCAAAACACCAAAGTCCCTGGAGATGTACAAACAGGAACAGTTTAGGTTTTTAAAAGTTTGAGCTGCATAAAGTTCCTGGTGTTCAATCCATCCTCATATGCTTTACAAGCAAGGCTGTGACATGTCCAATTTCCAACATTCTCAGATGAAATGGAAGTATAATTTGACAAATTAACACTATTTTAAATAAGAATAACCATTTTAATTCTTGTTGATGTGTCTGTGACTGATTCTTTTTCACATAAGAGAGCAGAATAATTGTACCACATAAATTTGTTAACAGCTTTATTATAGAAATGTTCGACTGTTAGTTGTAGTAACTGGTATTTTTGAACATTCATTCATATTAACATGAAGTGTTACTTTATTCTAAAACTCTCAGGAAAACACCTACAGAATGCAATAAACCAACCGTTCACTGGCAGTATCCAGCATTACAAAACTGCACCTAGACTGATTCGATCAGTGTAAACCAGGAAAAAACTCAACCCTTAAATAAATCAGCAATTACACCAGATGAGATACTAGAATTTAAGAGGGGAGAATTTTAAAGCAGAGAAATGCTACAAAGCTCTCAGAGTTCAACATCACTCCTTGGCTTTAAAGAAGGCTGGATAGGACCAAGATGTTTAATCCTTCATGGTGAGAAATAAAATCAATCACTGAATTCTATAATTTCACTTTTTAAAAAACTTATCTTGCTTTGCTTATCATTACTTAATTACAAGGTGAATGAACTGATAAGAGCACTAATTACCATTTTCATTGAATACGTTATTGTTTGACAGATGAATTTATAGGCTTAATAATAATTTTCACAAAGCAGCTCTTTGGTAATCTTGTCACCTTCTTCATCTTTTCATAAAAAGATATTCCTCAGTACATTTCCTAAGTTTGCTTTATTTTAATTTTTAGTTTCAATTTTTATTTTTCTATTTCCCAGTGCAAAATGAAATACAATTAACAGAGAACTTCCTTTTTGGTTCCTGCGTAAGGCCTGAAGTCCCGACAGCAAACACTATTGAAGTGTTCGCCCAGGTTTCAGACAGACTGAGGTTTCATTGCTCTCTACTGATCCTTCTAGGGATGAGGAACATCTGCACATTTCCCTGCAACCATGCAGTCAAACCTGAATTACCTTACACCAGCAGACCCTTTGGAATTTCTTCAAAGCCTGAAGCAAACAGCATCCAAGTCCAGCAAGTGTGCAAATCCCCAAAAGATCTCAAGTGAAGCAAAGCGTTACAATCATGAACCATAATACGAAAAAAACCTCTCGGGGCAATACCTACCCAGGAAATGGTAACAATTTGTAACAGCCTCTTTGTAAAAGACATGATCTCACCTTCCCTTACAGTTATGTCAGCTTCTGGAATGAAGTTCACAGAATATCTACATGTGCTAAGCCATTTTTGGAAACTTTCGGGTTTTTTTTCCCCCAGTTTGTGCTTATCCGAGTGACAGCACAAAGGTGTGGATAAATGAAGGCAGAACTCCTAACACCTCTGGTTGCTTTCCCACTCACTAACTTGCTATGCCTCATGACAGAAGGTTGTCTTCTTCCCTTCAAGACCTCACAACACATAAGTAAGACTGGAAGGACTTGTTGGTCCACTGTTGTCACTGGAAAGCATTCTGTTTCATCCTAAGATAATTAGCTAAGAACAGCTCATTATCATTCTGTTAACAGCCAGCTTCAAGCTGGACAAGCAACAGCCTCACCACATACAGTACTCAGGTTTCAACTGTACCTGGTGTGTGTTTGTGTGGCACAAAGACTGAAAATAGCTGACCTACCTCTGTGTTTGGGTGACGCTACGGCTGCAGACAGGGACAACCAGCAATCAGCCATTCAAAAGAGATGAGCAATTACCATCTCACAAAAAAAAAAAAGACAAATTATACCAGAACATACTGGATTTATATAGAAATTCAGACTTTTACTATACTAAGAAATATTAAAATCCATCAAAAGAAGAAATTCTACAGGATTTACCTAGAGGTAACTGCAGCAGAGAGAATTTCCCATTCCACACGACAAACACCAGTAATGCAGAACATCAGCTACAATCTGGTCAACGTTAACTCTGCAAATGTCAATGTCAACCAATCCCACCTTCTTTTCTGTCACACAACCACACAGCAAACCTCGCATATAAGAATCTTTGGTCTTAAGCAGTAATTCACTTTCCTAACATCTCTTCAAAGTCAATCTTATATCTGTCTGGTACTGATGGAATCCTTCCACACTCATTAGATTTTCTTTTCCTACAAGATTCTTGGGATTTTAGTTTAGCAAAGAGGAAATCAAATGGCTACTCCTTTTTTTTGTGATTTTATCTCTACTGCTTTAGACTCTGCTCGTTTTGATTGTATCTCCACTTTATACAGATGTGAGCAGAAATGCAGACAGAAAAAACACCAAAACACAATACAGGGTATAAAAGCAACTTTCCAGCTTCCAGTGTCAAAAGTCTTCAGAAATACACTATTTTTTTGAACCAGAGAAACAGTTGAGAAGTTTCAAAGACCACGGCTGTATTAATATGCAACACATAACATTCTATTATGTGTCTACAGAAACTGAATGCAAATCCTGCTTCCTACAGACTCTTAGTAAAAAACGTACCCTTTATTCACTTGTACCTTGAAGCCCAAGGATGTAAAATATGTAAGGTTGTGTTTTCATAAGCTTGAATTTCAGATCATGGAATCATAAGGAACCTTTAAAGGTCATCTCTTCCAACCTCCTCGCAGTGAGCAGGGACAATGTTACCAGATCAGGTTGCTCAGAGCCCCATCAAGCCTGACCTTGAATGTCTCCAGGGATGGGGCCTCCACCACCTCACTGGGCAATCTGTTCCAGCATTTCACCATATCATAGAAAAGGTTTCTCTAATGTCTAATCTAAATCTACCCATCTCTAGTTTAAAACCATTGCCCTTTACCCTATTGCTACACACCTTTGTTAACATCCCTCCCCAGCTTTCTTGTAGACCACCTTCACGTACTGGAAGGCCTCTACAACATCCCCTGGAGCCTTCTCTTCTCCAGGCTGAACAATCCCAACTCTCTCTGCCTGTCCTCACAGGAGAGGTGCTCCAGCCCTCGGATCATTTCTGTGGCTCCAATAGTGATTAGATATTGAGCAGTAAAGGAATATAAGAAGTTGAAGACATTTCTTGATGTCATCTCAATTCTGAATCTTTAATCATCAGCTTACTTCATTACAATATACATATCTGTGCACTTTGTCAGAGCCAGTACAAACTGTATGGCCAAAGAACAATCTTCTTAAATCTTTTATTTTCAGGAGAAAAAAAAAATCAAAACCACAGTAGCTCTTCCTTTATTGCACTCTATAAAACTTCTTGTTATAATCAAGAAGCCAAGAAACAGTAATAGCTGAATATTCTTTTAAAATTTATAGTTTAACTCTTAAAATAAAATTTATATAGAAAAGATATAATTTACAACCCATTCAGTAGTAATCAATCATTATATACTCACAAACAATATTAAATAACTTTTATGCAGCAGTTTCTTTATAGGGCAAACAGAGGGGAATATTTTCTCCTTAGCAAATATAATATTCCACTGTTAAAGAGCAATTCAAGTCAACTTTGGAGCAACTGTGATATGCACAAATTTCTTTTCAGAAGCTCAAGATTCATGTGGTGTAACAGGAATATATACAACCGTGTCCAGTGCATAGCTTAACAGCAGCGAGTGAAAAGTCTATCATCTTGAATTGGCACACCATTACCTACAGGGAAATAATTTACTCGGAAAATGCAGTGTATTCAGAGAACACCAGTGAGGCACAGTAAAACAACAACATGTAGTGTAACTAGGTATGTGAAGAATAAATAGCGGGATTTTGCCCTTGAGGTCAGCAACTTGGAACAGTAAAGACTTCGCCCTCGAAGCCATCTTCGGAAGGAAAGGGCTCCTCCTTTCATCTGTTTAGGAAACAAAAAAACATCAAATGAGTAATCATGAATGCTGGTAAGAAGTTGCTCCACCGCAACCTAGATTTCTGAATTAACACTATAAACCTTTTGCCTCTGATGCAACAATGGATGCCACAGCACAGGCTGTAAGCATAAACGATTTAAAGGCCAAAGAAAACAGCATTAATAAAAAGGGGAGAGAAATGGATACAAGGTATTTGTGTATTAGACAATTACATATACATACTAGAGAATAAAATGAGGAATTATATCTACACACATTTTATTTAATGGGTATGTGTGTAATATAAATATGATTACTCATATTTTAATTTGGACATATGTAATGTATTCTGTGGCATGGCTTACACAGCTGCCTGTATTTGACTCATCACACATAACCCAAACAGAAGAAATTAAGGACATCTTTTCAGTAAAACAGCTTCAGCAGTAATTTGCTGCTCTGAATGGATGTCTCCATGGCCCACCCATCCCCATGATACCTAACACAACAAAAGAGCACTTCAGAGTCAGCTTTTCAGAGACAAGGCAGATAAGACAAACAGCTGCTCCATGCCTGTGTTTACATATAAAGATGACGACTCAAAATCAGTGACTCCCAGCCAGTCAAGGAAAATCCACACTCCCAAGAATGAATGGAAGTTGGTAGAAAGGTATAGCAGAGTGAAGACAGGAAAAAGGAAGGAGTAGCATGAAGGACATAATGAGCTGTGCCATCCTCAACCCAGTCTGTAACTAGCAGTATACAACATGTGTGCCACTTAAGTAGCTTGAATTCAGGGATTTTAGAAGTTTTCATTTACTTACCTTTCGCACAATAACATGTTCACTAGGATTGATGATTAAGGCTTCCCTTTCCTCCTCAGTTTCCATTTGAACAGTGTATTCGCTAGGTACAGACCTGTAACCGCTTACTTCAAATCTAGAGAAAAAAATAAAGGGAAATAATGGAGTACTGAATTATTTGCTCTTTTAAAGTAACGAATACAGATAATTTTTTTGTATACTTACATTACGGGGGTACGGTCTCAGTAAAAAGCAGTAAGAGTTTATGTTGCCAGATCTTTTTTAGTGTCTATTTACAAGCTACTCTCAAGGTGTTTAATTTATTCAGACTAACCCCCATCATCACTAGCTGATGGCACAGTGATCGTCAGATGATGGTAGTGATGGAGGCTTTATGTAGGCAGTTTGATAATTGTATTTTAAATCTAAAGAGTAGCTGTACTAAAGCTGTTATACATTAGATGTTTTTCTAACTTGGAAAAAAAGAAGTAACACTGACTGCTGAATCCAACAACTGAAGCAAGAAATTAAATAAAGAAAAAAAACCCCAAAGCCCGTAAGAATTTCTTGTCCTGCAGTTAGACTGAGGTTTTTAACAGTTACACATGCATTTTCACTGCTTCAGGTACTGTGGAACCACAAACAGGTTCTATTATTTGTTTGTTCAATTTTTTGCATAATTTGCTCTGAAATCTAACACCCATAGGAAAACCTATCACTAATCTCACTAAAAATAAAAAATAAAAGGCAAACAAAATCTGACACTCCATTTTCCAGTTCTGTAGCACAATTTGCATTTACTCCACTCATAGTGTAAATGAAAACCTCACCATGCATTGGTTCAAGGGGAAGCAAAAGCAAAAGCTGGCTTTGGCTCTCTGAACATCCAAGTTATTATCCAACCTATGTACAGGTTTAATGCAGCAATCTAACTGTCACATACCTCAAAAGTATAAGAAAATAAGTATGTTTTACAGACAGGAGTCTTTTACCTGTTACTTTGCTCCTCAGAGAATCCAAGAGCCTCTTCTGCAGCTTCTCTCCTCCTTTTCTCTTCTGCCAGTGCTTCTGTCAGCTGTGAGAGAGCCTGCTGCACTGAATCATATTGTTGTTCAGTCTCTGCAAGCCTATGACAAAATGAAATCTGAAATCAATATTTTACATACTTAAAGAATTTCTTGTTCTTTTTTATTACAGAATGTTCTTTTTTGTGATAAAGACTTAATTGTAATGAGAAGCCCTAGATTACATATTGAAATAAAGTCACCAGTAAGTATAAATCTTTACAAAAACAAGACACAAATATTACCAGATAATAATGATTCAAGAATATGACTGAGTCATTTAATCCACTGTAAATTCACTTCCTTCTCTTTTCCCTCAGAATGTCTTAGGGGGGTAGAAAAGCATTCGTTTCGCACATACAACACAGCTGTCAGGAAAACAATATTGCTAATACAAGCTCTTAGTCCTGACCTTTTTCTAAGTTCATTTAGCTCCATATTGTCTATTTCAACAATAACTGCAGATCTTTCCTGTGGTGCTCCAGGGGGAACTTCGGCTCTAGTTTCATCCTAGAAAATATTAAAGGGGGGAGAGGAAAGCCAGGTATCATTTTTCTAGCTGCTAAAAATTTTTATTTCAATTAAATAAGCCAAAAGCACCACAAAGCAGTGGAACAAACCACACTTTGTGCCATTTAATCTTTCAGTTTCTAGAGCTGCAATTTTCCAAACCTGTCTTCTAACAGCAGATGAAGAGTACAGTTTGTGTGTGCTGCAGGACCTGAAGGATACACGTCCACTGCACAACACAGCAATCTCTGAACAACACGTGGAAGAAATGCTTCTACATATCCACATAGTAATATAGCACTGACCCCAGTTTCATAAATAATGCAGTTATTCATTTATTTTTTAGTTTACAGTTCTCCCTGTTTGTGTTTATTTCTGTTTATGGAAGAGTAAGGGTTGTTTTATATAAGTATCCATACAATACTTCAGGGTATTACATTAATTGATGGTTACTGAATAACAAAGGCAGTACAGGAAAACTTTTTAAAAATTAAGAGATCACAAAGGAATAAGCTTACAGATGTGCATGAGGGGTTGGCAAAGGGTACTGAAATGCTGAACTGGTGATACAGACCTCACACCCAAAAAATAGTACTCAAACACCTTGCAAAATGATTCATGACTGATGCAAAATTATCACTAAACCATGCTGATCCAATGACTAGGGATCATCCAATTATGTCTGCCAGCTCTAGACCAATTCAAGATGATACTTCAAAAGGAACAAATAAAAACCCCAAACATGTATAAATAGCTTCCCTAAATGAAAAGTCAAATAAAAAGAGCTTTACAACAATAAAGACAGTTTTCTTCTTCTTTTATGATGGGCAAAAGTACTTAATCAGTACAACAAAAAGTATTTACTTCATTTTTAGCATGAAAAACAGAAAAGCACAAGCACAGAAGAAAAAAAACCCTACAAAACATTTCCATATATCTGTCTACCTGAACAGTGCCTTGGAAAGATGCCACTTGCATTGTCTGATATTCCCTCTCCAGTCTTAAATAGCGATTCTGCAAGTCAGTGTAATGAAGCTGGTTATCTCTTAGAGTCTGAGAAAGAGTCTTCAACTGGGCAGATAAGACAGCATTCTCTTCGGCTGACTGCACAACCTGAAAGAAATTAACATTTAAATTAAAAAAATTAGTAATTATCTCCTTAATGAACTTACCACACGTTTGAGACTTGCTCTTGAAAATAACTAAGTACCAGTTTCCAAATTGCATCAACTTTTTGGCAAGCTCACAGTTTGTTAAAGTTTAACTAGTTGTTTCATGAGAAGTGGAAATAATGAAACCTGATGATTGATTTCCTCTGTCATCAATATGCCCAAACCAGAAAAATCAAGGTTTTGAACCCCAATGCCTTCCTCTCCATGTTTGCTATGTTATCACCACCTGCCAACAGACAGTACATGCAGTTGTTACTTCAGGGCAACGCATAGTGCCAAATAAGCCTGATAACATAAGCACGTTCATCACCAGGCAGTTCAGGAACATTCAGCAGTCAATTTTTCATCTTTTCAAAAGACACACCATAACTGGAGTCTCCACCTGTTACCCAAACACTCCTCTTGTAGGAGCCTGAGATTTCCACATCTGTTTCAAAGTTTGGTTAAAATTGTAATTCGGTTTATAAAATGTCTGAGTGAAGCAGTGCAAACAGACACCATGACAGATGTAAGGTAACATAAACCTAAATCACTTTGAATATCAGGCCACACAAAGAGAGACAAACGTTAAGGGAATTTCCAAGAACACTTACAAACCTTTGCAAACAAAACCAAAACCAAACACACAAGTGCATGCACACACTCTTACCATTTCAACAGCCACAAAAGTGGTCATCAAGAATTTATAAGGAAACATTTCTGAGGTATTTAAAATTGGGTATGAGATAGCTAAAATCTTTTTCCAGCTAAGACAGACATCTGCTTCTGTGTATAAGGAAAAATATTTCACTTTGACTGGAAGTTCAGCAGTGCCCTGTCAATCTCTTCAGAATGCAGACTCAAATAAAACTCTCTCAGTCAAATAACAAGTCAGGAAAGCTTGACAGATGATAATACTGACATTTAGTTTGCAATTTCTAGTCCGAGTCAACTGGGTCACTTTGAAAGATCCAAGTTTTAAAGTGAACTAACTTTTAATCATACAAGACACAGCCAGTTTAGCAATATTTCCATGTTGATACCAGCTCAGACTCACATGAACTGTTTAGGATCACAGCTGTTAGGTTCTAAATTACCTTTGAATTAATCTGCTGAAAATGCAGATCCTTCTGGTGGATCTCCTGAAGGCAGCGCTGCAGTTCATTTTGAAGCCGATTCTTCTCAGCTAAGACATGTTTGATTTCTTCTGGCACATCCGCACTTCCAGCAAGGGTGGCAGTTTCTAAAACCTTTAAGAGTATTAGCATACTCAGGGTAAATGGTATAGGAAGTTTTAAATAATACGTAACTCCAACATTAAATATATATACGGATTACAGAATAATTTCCTTTTCACAACATCATTTCCTTCTCACAAGTTAATACCACATTGACAAGAGACCATATACTACAACAAAATCTTCTACTTAGTACTTTCAAGCTAAATACTTCAATTTAAAAAAAACAATAAAAAAATTATCACAAAAAGGCAACCCAACCTAATTTTTAATCTTCAAGTACTGTGAAGCACCAAAAAAGGGGAGAAAATATAAAAAGTCAGATGAATATAGAACACCTTTCAAAAGTTATTTTCAAACTAATAATCTATAGTGTTCATGACTTGCAGAAGAACAGCTATTTTGTAAATATGAATTGAAAGCTGAAACTCCGTTTTTTGGGGGAAAAAACCCAAACACTAAAACAAAAAAAAACAGACACACACAGACACACACAACCAAAACACAACAAAAAACCTGACCAAACACTCATCTTTATCACTGATTCACAGCATTGGCCTTCTTTATCTCTGGCAGGTCAACATTTCAATGTTAATCTCCAATAATGGAGGGAAGTGTGCCACCTCTAATGCTTCATGGAATCTACTTTCCTACACAAGCATGAAATAAAGACTCCTACCACATAAAATATTCCATAACCCAACAGGTAGTACTGTTCAATAGCTCTTATTCATTATTTTAATCATAGAAAATGAACAGCACATGCAACACAAACCTGACCAGCTAAAATGCTGGTTTAAATCATAGAAACATTTAGGTTGGAAGGAACCTTAAAGATTATCCAGTCCAACCCCCAAATGAAATTAAAAGGAATACTGTTTACTTCCTTTGGTACAGAAAAGGCAAATAAGAATATTATTCTAAAATAACACTTTCCTTGAACACTTAATGATAGTCTACAAAAGCAGGCAACAACTGCCAGACTGGGTCTCAGCTGCTGCCTTTCTAAATCCAGTATTTTGTTCCTGGCAGAAGACAACTCCAGCTGCTTCAGGGGAAGGGTAAGAACACTTCCATTAGGCACATCTCTCCCTTCTCCCCTACCCCAGTTAGGTCCTATTCTGATCTGCAGTAAAGACTGATTTAGGCTTTGATGAATGAACTTTATTAGATCTCTAAAATACTTTAGCATCAAGTATCAAATCTTTAAAATGCATTAGCATCAAGTTTCAAATTCTGAACATTGTTGTTGCCAATGTAAACTACCAAGTTTTACAAGAAGTGACAGGGTAGATTCTCATGTCACTTACATTCCAAAGTATCATCAGTTTGGTTTTTTTCTCTCATTTCTTTCTTAATGTAAACAATCCCAATAATTTTTGAATTTTTTCTTAGAAGTTTTTCTATGTCATGCTTTCCACCTCCCTCCTTTGAAACTTGTTTTTGTCTTGCAATGTAATATTCTGCAAAGCTGAGGTGAAGCGCACTGCAAATTATTTACACTCAAGAATTATGTTTTCTATGCCATTTTTCCTACCAAGTAACTTACTTGATTTAGACTGGTCTTTTAAAAATAACATATACGCAAATCATCTTGTTTGTCATTCTGTTCCCCTAATAATATTTGCATCAGCTACCCAATTCTAAAATTGGATTAATGGGTAATGGTTTTAAACTGGAAGAGAGTGGATTTAGACTAGATACTAGAAAGTAATTCTTCACTGTGAGGGTGCTGAGACACTGGCACAGGTTGCCCAGGGAAGCTGTGGATGCCCCCTCCCTGGAAGTGTTCAAGGCCAGGTTGGACAGGGCTTTGGGCAACCTGATCTGGTGGGAGGTGTCCCTGCCCATGGCAGGGTGGTTGGACTGGATGAGCCTTAAGGTCCCTTCCAACCCAAACCATTTTATAATTCTATGTGTCTCTGTTTAGCACCTGCTCTGCTGTAGAACCATGTTTGAACCATTTTATTGTATTTACTTCTTCGTATTATATCCTGAATTAAAATAACTTAAGATAGTAACTTACAAGATCACTTATGTAATCTACTAACATTAGCAACTCAGCAACAAGCAAATGCCATTATCTTACAATGTAACCACAGCAAACGGTTACTCCTTTTTGACTGAGAGTAAGTAACCATTATTGGTTCACGGCCTTAAACTTTTGCTTCTCAACTATTTAATTTCTTATGGAGGTTTTTTTCATGTTTTTAACTGTTAAAATATACCACAGTAGCAAGATTTCTGTTATTTTATCAACATATGATAACATACCAGCATATGATAACACTGTAACTCATGATTTTTCTTTGTTTAAAGTAAGATGACTGATATATCAGACTCCATTAAAAAGTGTTTTCAAGAACTGCAACTCATTTGCTTGTAACAACTGTAACTTGCTGATTAGACCCCAGGCAAAACTGAAATACAGCTCACACGCTCATCAGCCTGTCATACTTAACTATCATAGGCTGCCTAGCTCTCTTTTGGGAAGGAAGCTGCAAACTTAATACAAAAAACTGATGGAAGTAGATTTGTGCCACCTGCTTAATTTCATCCACTTACCTTGACTGGGTAATTGCTGCCAGCAGACACTGATTTCTTAACAATCATGTCTTGTTGCAGCTTCTGTAGCTCTGCAATCTGTTGGTCTTTCTCAGCGACTGTGATTTGGCATTGATTTCGCAGTGCCTGTGACTCTGAGAGTAGGAGGTTTTTCTCCATTCTGAAAATAAGATGTCAGACTAGATGTTAAATTATAATACACTACCTACAAGTCAAGGAAAAGGAAAAAGCTGTACTTACTGTTATTTCTCCAAAAAAAAAGTATTTTTTGAACAGTTATATGCAAATTTGGAGCACTATATGAACAATCTCAATACATACTTCAGTTTAAAGAATTTTCCTAAAAAAAAAACCCCACAAACAAAATACCAGAAAATAAAGCCTGGAAAACAGTAACATCACATTTGCTTTGTCGGCTTGGAGACAAGAGAAGTTCATTGGCTGTAAATATATAACATCTGTTAATGCAATAATACTTCAGCTACCCGAAGAACAAGGTTGCGCAGCAAAGCAACTCTAGGTCTCAGCTGTGTAGAGTGCTGCTCTGTGTAGAGCCACTCTATCCTATTCCAAGCCCACAAGTTTGAAAAGGAATTTCCTAGACTCAAATATTGAATGACACAAACATACCAGATTTCCAGAAATTGCTGTCATACACAGGCAATATCACAAAGGCTGCAAAAGTAATTTAAATACTTTCGAATTCAATTATTATATATTTTTAAAGTTTTGGGAGAAAAATGGAAAAAGATTATTCATGCTGCTCATTGGTTAATTTTACAAGTTAGAATGAGCTCTGGAAGTTTCATGCTACCTTGCTCACATTTGCAAAGATAAACGTGAGGCTGGCCTTTTGATCTACACCTTCCTTCCCCAAAAGTTTCTAGTATAAAACAGAATTATCTTACACAAACTTTGTGTATTATCTTACACAAACTTTAATTAGAAATCTAGAAAGTTCACTGTGGACAGTAGAATGCAGTAAAGGACAAGGATACCACCTACTGGCCTCAAATTATCTTCACTGACCTGATCAAAACATGCTTTCACACTTCAATGATCTATACAAGTTAAAAAGCTTGAATGAGAACAACAGTCTAAGATGACGACATCTTGATCTACCTCTACTGAGTGCCACTTAAAATTGCCTACCACCCTCCTCTGAAGCTGACTTCATGAGGCATTCACTGAATTAGGCCCATGGTGTCACATTATTCATTTGCCACAGATGATGCAAGAGGTGAACAGTACTGATGTATACTCTTGAATCTACAAAAATAATGCTCAAATGTGAAAGGAAGTTAATTTTCAATATGTAGTTGGGCCAAGGATGCAACACCTTAGTCAGATTTGGGAAATGTTCAGCCATATCGACTGTTACTCTAAGAAGAGAATATAATACCAAGCATTGAAATAATGAGATACTTAAATTGCAGTTCCATATATCCAAATCACCAACGGAACAGAAAATATTCAATTAAGATTGCCTGAAACTTTACATAAATAGACATAGAAGGATAATCACAAAGACAATTCCATTGAAGTTGATTTCACATATTATAGAAATATTCTTATCCTACTTCATGCTAAACTATATATAGTTTTGGTTTTGTGTCAGTTTTACGTCAGTTTGTGAAGTCACTGAAGAATTAGAAACAGGAGCCACGTACGATTTGTTAATTTTAATATTTATACCTTAATCCAGCAAGCTCATTCTGGTATGATGCAATCTCTCTCTCAGTTTCTGCTTGGAAGGCTTTTGTCTGATGCAATGTCTTCTCCAGATCATCAACCTTGGTCTTCAGTTTTGATATTTCAACAGCTGCAAGGCTGGCTCCTTCTTTAGCCTACATTTAATAAACACGATTAGTGATCTGGAATGCAAACTGTATTATATTAGTGCTAGAATTCTCATTACAGAATAATGTTTTTTTCCCATTTGCTCCTGTTAGGATAATCACCTAAGCAGCCAAAATTGTAAGCACATCTTCTCTAGTCACACAATATTTTCTTAGCACTCACATAATTTACAAAGTTAAACTTCAGAATCCATGTTTCCAAGCATTATCCGCATTAAAAAAAATAATTACAAAGTGATGTAGCTAATTAAAACTTACCAGTCTTTCCTTATTGTTCTGAGACATACCCAAATTACTTTTAAAATCATTTATCTCATTGATGCTGTTGCAACCAACGTGAAATGAAGCTGTGCCCTGCTTGTTTCAGAAGTTACCTTCTGACTGCTGAGTTCCTGCAGCAATTTGTCTCGGTCATCCTGAAGACTGGCCATAGCCTTGGAAAACGCTTCAATCTGGTGGACGTAATTCCCACACTTAGATGAGAGCCTGCTAATCTCCATCTCACGACTAACTAACGTCCTACAGAGATTTTCAATTTCATCAGCAATCTGATCAAGTGTAACCTTATCTGCAGCATCAAAAATAACCTTATTCAGAAGAGAATTTTCTTTGAGCATACTGATAAGATGCAATTTAAAGCCATCCAATTTAGCTTCAAGTTCATCTCCTTTCTTTTTTTCCATCTTCAGTTCAGACGTGTATTTGCTCTGAAGTATCTTTAAGTCCTCTATTATTCGATCTCTGTCATTTTGCAGAGCAGTCATTGCTTTCCCAAAGGCCTCATTTTGGGACCTCAGCTCACTATTTTGAGATTGAACTTCTAATACCATCTTCTCCGCAAAAGCATCAGGTTCATCTCCATGTTCAAGTGTCAAAAGAGTCTTACTGTATGCCTCATCTGCATCCTTAGTATTCCTGCCTCTTGATTTCTGGAGTTCTTGATTCTTCTGAAGATTCTCTCCATACTGCCCAGTTGATACACATTCTTTTTTCTGAACACTATCACTAGTTAGCAGTTTCTCTCCTGATTCAGAAACAAGCTTCTCTTTGTTTAATGATGCAATTAAAGATTCCAAATCACTTACTTTAGACGCTAATTTTTTATTTTCGTGTTCCAAAGATAGAGCCGTATCCTTTTGCAGTTCATTGGAAAGTTGCACTTCTTTTATTTGTTTTTGAAGATTGTATTTTTCTTGTTCAAGGCTTTTAATGCAATCCAATTTCTGCTTAAGTAAGTCTTTCAGCTGATGGTCTTTCAGAGATAAAACTTGGTTAAGATCTTCCCTGTACTTTATCAGCTGTGCACTTAGCATTGCATTTTCAGAATGAAGATCATCTATCTGATTGAGAAGTATCCTTAATTCTTGCTTTAGAGCATTATTCTCACTTGCATTGCTAACTATAATGCTGTCCTGCTGATTTAAGACATCTTGGTGAAGCTGTTCCAGTTCTTTGTATTTAGAAAAAAGATCATCCCGATCATTCTGAAGAGATGACATGGATTTTTTAAAGGCATCTATTTCATTGGCAATTGCAGCCTTATCTTGACCTGCTTTGTCTGCCTTCATCTGGAGATTTCTTAATTCATTTTCCAATCTCTGACAGGACTCCGCAGATTGTTGTTTCTCTATCTGCAAAGACCTTAACTGACATTCATATTCTTTGATTTGGTTTTCGTGTTGATTCTGTACCTCAATCAGATAGTTAGAAATTTCATCACCTTTTGAAGAAATGAGTAAGGAAATTTCTTTGTCTTTATTATTTAGCATGATCTTCATTTGCTCAGAAATGGTAATCTGCTTTTGCAATTCAGCATTATTTTTTTCCTTCTCAGCTAGGAGCTGTTGCAATTCTTGTTCCTGTCTTGTAAAATCACTTTCCAGAGCTTTTATCTCTCTTCCTGTACTTTTACTATTCTCTATGAGGTGATTAAGGGAATTATTTTCTTTAAGGAGTGCTTGCAAAGCTGCTTCTTTTGACTGAAGAATACTCTCCAATTCTTGCTGCCTGGTTAAAAAAAACCTATTTTCTTCCTTGATCCTGCAGAGCTCTTTATAGCATTCTGCATCAACTGATTTTTGCCTCAAGTACAGTTCACCCTTTGTCTCCTCTACCACAGAATATTTGATACTCAATTCTTGAATCTGAGTAATTTTGTCTTTCAATTCATCTTGTAAAGACATTATTCTTTTATGACTGTCTTCTATCTGTTTCTCTTTATTTTGGATGGCCTCTTTGAACTGCATTTCCCAGGTTTTCATTTCAGCGATCACCCTGTCCCGGTCATCCTGAAGAGAGGACATACACTTCGTAAAAGCTGCTAATCGTGCCAAAGCAGCATTCAAATCTGCTTGAAGTTTCTTGTTTTGAGAGTTTTTAATGCTAACTTCCTCTTGCAAACCACGAATCTCACTAATCGTCCTATCTCTTTCTCTCTCAAGTGCACTATGTCTTTCCTCTAGGTTCAATTTTAATCGTTGAAGATTAAATTCCAATTCTCTTTCATATTCTTTCTTTTGAATTTGTAGTTCATCTTCTTTCTTCTTAAGTTCTGTTCCCCACCTTAGATTCTCATCTCTAAGCCTGTCTACTTCATTCTTTGACTGATCCAACAAGTCCATCTGTGAAGAAAGCTGTCCTTTGAGGTGATGCACTTCTTCATTTGACTTTGCAAGCTTTTCTGACATATTACTTAAGTCCTTTTCAAATTTTTCACTTTTTGTCTGTGACAGTTTCACAGATCTTTCCAAATCCAGGATCAGCTCCTGGAACTTTATAGAATCCTTTTGCAAATGGTTTATCTCCTGCTGCTTCTCCCTTAAGAGTTCTTGCAATTCCTTTGTTTTGGTTTTACTTCCATTATTATCCCTCTGAGCACTTTTCACTTTCTCCTCAAACAATTTTACAAGGTGTAACTGCTGTTCTTCTTTTTCTCTAATCACATTACATTTTTCTGCCTTTAATTCTTCCAGTTGCTGTAATAGCAAGTTATTCTGTACCTGTGCTGATTTCACTCTATCAGTAAGAAGATCAACTTTTTTAACATGATTAAGCAACTCTGTCTCAAGAAATTCTCTCTCATTCTTTACTTTGCAAGAACTCTCTTGTACATTTTCTAATTCTTCCTGTAAGAGACATTTATCATCCTCTAAAATCTTAACTTTTTCATTTAGACTAACAATTTCTTGTGTAAGACTTTCACATTCCACGTCCAGCTTTGTTAGACAATGGTTTTTATGGTCCAAAGATTTTTCCATTTCTTTTGCTTTTTCTGAAATTGATTTTTTTTCTTTTTCTAGGATAAGCACATCTTGTTCCTTTTCAGAGAGTTTATCCTTTAACACATTAATGTCCTTTAACAATGATTCATTTTCACACAATGCATCACTGATTTTAGATTGCATATCATTTTGGTAGACTTCCATTTGAACTTGGAGCTCTCCCAGAGTTGCTTTAGTTATGGTGATGTTATTATGAAGGATATCATTTTCATCCTGAATCTTCTCTAAAGCCTGCTTTAAATTTTCAGAGGTTTGTTTCAGCTGCTCATTTTCCTCCATTAACTGATGATTCTGATCAGTGAGCTCAAGAAGACGACCCTGGTGTTCCTGCATCCTTGCCTCCTGCTCACGGATCTGCCTTTCTGCTTTACTTTGTAATTCATCAACTTCCATTTTCTTGGATTCACTAAGTTGTTTCAGCTGATTCTTAATAACTTCATTTTCATCAGCAAGTTTTTGCAAATGCTTCTCAAGAGCCTCCTTCTCAGATTCTCCTTCCCTGAGTCTTTGAATTGCCTCTTGCTTCTCCTTTCTAGTGAGATCAATAACTTGCCTCATATCTGCTATTTTACTACTGATATTCTCATAAGCCTGAAGAAGTGATTCATACTCCTGCTTTAATTCACTATGTTTAGCCTTCCATCCTGTTAATTCAACTGTCTGAGAATCTTTTAAGGTATTTAGTTGAAAAGAAAAGGCTTCTTTTTCCTGAACTATAGTCTCCATGGTGGATTTAAGACTTTCACATGCCGCAGTGAGGTTTTCATTTTCAGTCAACAGTCTAGCATTTTCAGAAACAAGGCTCTCCTCTTCAGACAATGGAGAAGCAGTACTCGAACTTTGTTTTTCTCTACCAAGTTCTAACAAGTGTTCAAGCATACCTGTCTTGTTCACCAGTTCTTCCCTTTCCAACATCAGCTTATCAATCTGGTCTTTTAGACATTTATTTTCTTTCAGTGCTTCTTTACGTGATATTAAAGCCGCTTGTAATTTTCTTTGAAGGCGCTCTCTGGACTTCTCTTCTGCTGTAGCTCTTTGCTCTTGTGGTTTAGAATCATTCACATTTGCAGTTTTTGCCAGTGGCTCTTCAATAACTTGCATTTGTTTCTGCATTTGACATTCTGTTTTTTCTTTCAGTTTAGTTTTCCTGGAGTAATCAGTCTCTGATAGTTGAAAACAGGTGCCTTTACCTTGTAACTTTTCTTGAAGGGAATTACTTTCTGAACAAACCTCTCCCAATTCTTTTTCAGTATCATTTTCTTCCTTAAGGTCTTTGCATGACACCACTGGTCTACTCATCTCAGCCTTCTCACGTAGCATGTCTAGCTCTGTCAGAAGTTTTTTGTTTTCTTCACTGAAATGTTGTACCTCTTTTTTCATACTAATTAGTTCCAAATCAGACTTTTCTAAACAACTGAGAAATTTCTCTTTTTCACTCTTCATTTCTTCAAATGCTGTTTTGTAATGGTGGGCTTCTTCTTGGCAGTTTTTTATAGCTTCATTCAATAATACCTTTTCCAGATCATGTTTATCTTTGAAATCCCTAAGTGAACAACGCAGTGCTTCTATTTCATCATTCTTTTCTGCAACCTCCTCCATAGCTTCAGTTCTCAATCTCTGCAGTTTCTCCTGGCTCATCTTGTAATCCTCTTCGCTTTTTTTAACAAGTGTTTCTTTCTCATTATTCACACATTCAAATGCTGTCTTAATGTCTGTAGCTTCAGCCTTATATGCTTTCAGCTTTCTCTGTATCTGCTTTATGTCCTCCAGGAAGCTGTTCTTACATTGCTCCTGGTACTGCTCCTGCTGTCTCAAAGGGTTTAAGCTGACTGTTTCTTCTCTTTCATCACCAAATTCAACTGATATTTTTCTCAACTCTTTCTTCAACACTTCTGTTTCTTCCTGAAGTTTTGCATAATTACTTCTTAATTCTTTTAACTCAGTGTCTTTACTTGCCACTGAAGCAATTATGTTTTCTGACTCTTCTAAGGATGCAACCTGGACCTTGCTTCTTGGTTTGTCTGATTCTGAATTCCTTAGGTTAGCTGCTTCTTCCCCCAGCACTTCCTTAGGTGAAGCCAGCTCTTTCCCCAGAGGGTACTTGTCTAACTGATTAAAGTCAAGTTCTTTACATTTTGTTTGAAGAACTTCCCAGAGTGCTTTATGTTCTTGTTTGAGTTTCTCAAGGTGGTTTTTCTGTTCATCAAAATCTGCTGCAAGTTTAGTGTGTTCTTCTCTTTCTTTCTGAAATCTTTTAATATCTTCTTTCTTGACCAAAAGCTCCCTCTGTAACGTTTCTTTTTCTTTTTTCAACTGATTCATTATATTAATGTCATTGTCGGTGTCCAGACACTTCTTCCTGTCCCCAGCACTTGAACCAGGCCCACCTGAACTGGAATTTTTCAACAGTTCTTCTTTCTTCTTAACTTCAGACTTCACCCTTTCAAGAGTTAAGAGCAGCTGAGAATGTTCCTCTTCATATGCACTTACTTTTTCATCAAGCACAGACTGCATGTAGGCAAGCATGCAGTTGTTTTTCTCTAAAGATTTTAGGTTCTGCTCACATATATTTTGTTTTTCAACAAGGATATCATTTAGTTCTGCAATATTGTCCTTTAGTTCCTCTACATAAGAAGCTTTTGAAGACAGAACTTCAGTCAAATCACTTATTTTGGCATCCTTTTCTAAAAGTTGTTGCTTCAAAGTTTCAAGATGAGACTCAAAATCTTTATTTTGTAGTTCAACTAGTTTCAGCTTGTCTGTTAACTCATTAACTTTCTTCAACAGCTCTTCTGCCTTTTTTTGCTCTTTTTCTATTTCTTCCTGTCCACTCTTCTCTAGTTTTCCAACTTTTTGCATTAGATCTCTTCTTATTATCAGTGCTGCTTGAAGTTTCTTTTTCAGATTCTCTTTTTCCTTGCCCATTTTCTCTAGATTAAACTGCAACTCCTCTTTTTCATGCATTAAGTCTTTAAACACAGCTTCTCTACTGCTTAATGTAATGCGACTATGTTCCAGTTCTTTCTTACAATCCTCAAGTTCCTTCAATGTGCGGTTTAGCTCTCCTACAGAACTATTATGAACAGCTTCAAGGTCTTGCAGTTTGGTATTTAATATATTTCTCTCTTCTGAAAAATTCAGCATTTCATTAGACAGTGATTCCATGATCTGGGTAACAGAACAGTCTTTTTCTTTCAGTTGCTGGCTTAGACCAGAAACTAAATCCTTCTGCTGATTTAACTGGGAAGTTAAGTTTTCAATGAGTTGATCTTTTTTTCCCATTTCTTCAAGGAGACTTGCTACTTTTTTACCTTCAATGTGCAGTTTTTCTTGACTGGTTCTTACTATTTCTTCTGATTTATTTATCTTGTCTTGAAGAAATTCAACCTGCTTATTTATTTCTGCAAAAGACTCCTCTCTTTCTTGCAAGAGAGACTGCTGTTTATATAATGTTTCCTTCACTGCAACTATTTCTTTTGACAGACATTCAACTTCAGATTTGTATTTGCCCTTCATTGTTGCAAAATCATTCTGCAGCAACTCCTTCTGCTTCTCAAGCAAATGCATACTTTTTAATTCATCTTTCATGGTGTCTATTTCTTTCTGTTTTTCTAAAAGCACCAGTTGCAATTGTTCTCCTTCTGTTTCTTTGCTCAAAATAGTTTTTATCAGAGTGGAGAATTTTTCCAACTGAATTTTACTATCAGTTAGCTGCAGTTCAGAATCTGAAGTCTGTGCCTTCTTTTCTTTACAGAAAAGCCTACTACTAAGTAATGCAGATAAGCTTTGAGTTAACTCCTCTTTTAAAATATCCAGCTCTTGCTGTAAAGACTGGATTTTGCTATCCTTTGATTTCATTTCACTTTCTAAACTGCTCAATTGCTCAGTAAGATTACTATTTTGTAAAGTTGCCCTATCAAGTTCTGTCACCCATTTGTTTTCTGACTCAAGTAGACTCTGTTCTAGAGTTTCAAATTTAAGTTCTAATTTAGAAAGTTCTTCACCCTTCGCACTAACCTGCATCTGTAACTTCTCATTTTCAGTCTTCATCTGCAGTTTGACAGCATCTATCTGCATTCTTGAATAATTCTCACTCGTTTCTAATTTTTCATTGATTTCTTGGAGGTCTTCCAATTTCTTTTGCAAATTATTTTGGGATGCAGTCAGCTGTGCATTTTCAGCCATCAGTCTATCAGCATCTTCTTGCAACTGGCTTTTTTCTTTCTCCAAAGACTCTACCTGGCACTGCAGACTATCTATTAAAAGCACATTGTCATGGCAGTCTTGAGATGATTTGGAATTCACACTGTTTAACTCTAACTTCAAACACGCTATGTTATCTGCCTGTTCAGTGCACTTCACACACAGACGCTCCACAGCCAGTTCTTTTTGCTGTAATTCTTCTTGCCATGTACTTATTTGGTCTAGTGCTTTCTGGTGTTCACTTTTTAGAGAATCAAGTTCAATTGTCAAAGAATCAATTTTCTTCTGATTAACATCAAGCTTCTTGTTCTTTTCCTTAATTTCCTTAGTAAGGTTTTCCATGGCTGTATCACTTATCACTAATTTTTCTCTGAGAACCTCAATCTCACTAGAAAGAACATTAACATTGCTATCGGCCAACTGTATACTAGTATCTTTCTCCTTTAAAGAACTAAGCAGTCCAGCAATAATTTCTTCTTTTTTCCCAAGAGCTGCATTCAACTCAGTCCTTAGTTCATACTGTGTTTCAATTTTCTCCTGAAGAGATAAAAAGGCATTTTCTTTCTCATGGGCTAGTTCTTTAGATTTCTGTAGTTCTTGAGTTAGTTCATGTACCTGAACATTGAGCTGAGAAATTAAATTTGTCTTCTCTTCATCTTTCCTTGCTTTCTCCTCCAGAGTTTTGAGGAGACTTCGATTCTCCATAAGAGATGACGTCTTTTCTGATAAGGACTGCTCTATCTCAATTATTACATTCTTCTGATGTTGTATTTCTTTTTGTAAATTCACTTTTGCTTCCTCCAGCTCTATCAACTGTTTCTTTAAGATCTCACATTCATTTTCTTTCTCTTGAAGTTGTGTCTTTAAATTCTCACTAGATAATGAAATATTGTTGATAGTTAATTCTTTTTCTGAAACAAGTACTTTTAATTGTTCTGCTTCAGAGGCTAAAAGCTCCAACTGATTCTGCTGCAAAACAGAAGATTCCTGTACCTCAGAAAGCTGTGCTTCCAAACTGATGCATTCATCTAACTTCTGTTTTAAAGATTTATCCTTCTGTATAATTGAATCATTCAACTGGGATGACTTTTCTGTCACATTTCTAAGCTGATACTGAAGGTCAGAAATAACCTCCATATTCTCAGACAGTTGAACCCTAAGTACATCAGACTCTTCAGATTTATCTTTTAGTAACTTTAATTCTTGGGCTTGCCTCTTAAATTCATTTTCTTTTTCCTGCATTGCATGTCTAAGCTGGCTGCTCTCAAAACCTAGGGCTTGTATTTGGTTTTGCAGATCTGAAATGATTTGCATATATTGCCCTTCTCCTGCCATTTTACTGTTTTTCAATTGTTGAATCAAAGCCTCCTTTTCAGAAAGGAGAGTTTCTTTTTCTTCAAAGACAATTTTTAAGTTTTCTTTTTCAATCAAGAGGCCATCAATTTGGTCCTTCAGAGCTAAGATATTATGGCTCTGTTGGGACAAGTGTGAAGTTAAAGCAGCTACTTCATCTGACTTCTTCATTTCCATAACTTTAACTGTTTCAATGTCTACTTTCAATTTTTCATTTTCTAGAGCTGCTGTATGTGCTTGTTGCCTTGCTAAAGTAATTTCAGACTGTTGCTGTACCAACTGTGATTGAAGAACTTCACATTCATGTGACTTCTTGCTCAATAAGCTTGAAAAGTCCTCCTTATCACGCTTAAGCACATGCACTTCTTGGCTCAGCTGCTGCAGCTGACTATTTAACACTGCCGTTTCTTCCATTTTTTCAGAAACTTGCCTATGGAACTTCTCAAGTTCTGAACCCTGACTTTTTACAGTCAGGTCTCTCTCCTCTACCAACTGAGATAACTTTGTTTTTTCATCTTTAAGATTTTTTATTTCATCTTGCAACTCTACAATATAAAGCTTACTCTCTTCTACTGCCTTACAAAATGAATCATTTTGAAGGGCTTTCTCTTCTAGAGACCTGTTCGCAGCTTCAAAATCCAAAGTTACGCTTTGAATTTGTTCCTGCAGTAGTAAATTCTTTTCCTTACTAAGGCTGAGTTCTTGGATTAGGCTACTGCATTCAGATAACTTATTATTTAACATTTCTTCTTTCTTTATTCCTTTATCTCTAGTATCCTTCAGCTGAATGAGAAGTGATTGCATTTGTTCGTGCAACTGTTGTGTCTGTTCCTTGCTTTCAAACAACTGATCGGCTAACACATTACATTCCTTTGTTTTCTCTTGCAGCTGTTCTGCAACTGAATTTTGTTTTTGCTCAGCAAGTATTGAAAGTTGTTCAAACTCTTTTGCCAGAGTGTTTTTATCACAATTTAGTACCGAAAGAGTTTTTTCATACTCAGCAGTGCTAACAGATAACTTATTCTCTATTTCTGCTAGAGCCTGGATTTTCTTTAACAATTCACACTCTTTTACATCCAGCAGTTTGGACAAATACTCCTTTTCACTGATTAGCTGTTCCTTCTCTTTTTCCACCATATCTATACTTTTTTTCAGACATTCATTTGCTTTCATTTGCTCTGCCAATTTTTCTTCTTTCCCTTCAAGTTCTGCCTGCAACTGCTGATTAGCTGAAGCTTTCTCCCGTGTCTCTATATCCATCTTGTTAATTTGTTTATGTATTTCATTTAATTGGTTATTAAGTTCTTTGCAACATGTCTCTTTGGCTTTCAGATCTCCAGTTAATTTAAGTTTAGTTTCTTCATTTTGCTGCTCCAAAACCCCAAGCTTCTGCTCTAATGAAATAATGAACTCCTGTCTCTCCTGTAATTCTTTTTTAATTGTTTCCTGGTGTTCAGTATGTTCTATAAGCTTCCTAGATAACTCAGCCAACTCTTCATCTTTTTTAGCAGTTTCCAAAACCAGTTTGTTGTATAAATCTTTAATTGATTTTAACTCATTTTCAAGCGTCCGTGCTTTACTCTCTTTCTCTTTAAGCAAACTGTTCCATTTTTCCTTTAGAGTATTGTTTTCCTCAAGCTGAGATTTCAAATACTCAGTTTCTTTTCTCTGTTTATCCTCAGCTTCTTGTAGCTTTTCAGATGATTTACTGATTTGTTCTTTCAGCAAAGTAATTTGTGACTCACACTCCGCAAGTTTGTTATGGTATGCAACACTGTTGGCTTTGATTTCAGAACGGAGATCCTTAATTGTAATGCTGTTCTCACTGCTTTGTCTTATTAATTCCTCATTTTCTTTGGTTTTAGCTTCATTCTCAACTCTAACTCTTTCCAGCTCTAGTTTCATTGTATTAGCTTCCTCAGAAAGCACAGATAGCTTCACACTTGCATCTCTTACACCAGTTGTTTGTACTTCTTTCAATAAATGAGTTTCCCTTTCAGCCTTTGATAAAGCCTCTTCCATCACTTGTATTTCTTCCTCTTTGCATTGCACTTGCTGCTTCAGAATGATAACCTGTTCAGAATATTCTGTCATATTCAAAGACAGGACAGACATCTCTCTGTCTTTTTCTGCAAGAGCTTCTTTAAGATTATCTATTTCTCTTTCACGTTTCTGGAGATCTTGAATAAGTTGAGATCTTTCCTCTAAATGGCTTGTATTCAATTTGTCAAGCTCTTCATTTGTCTGGTCCAGATCCAACTGCATTGATTCTACGACGCCATCTTGTTTCAGAGTCTAAATATCAAGAAAATAATGTTACGAGAATACTTAAAACATATATTAGAGGGAGAATGGAAGTTACACTCTACATGTAGAATGAGTATCTAAAGTAATCAATCTGTACCGAACTGTACAGTCACAAGATAACCATGTTATTCTTTAGACTGTTCTAGCATACAGAAAGTTTAGTGTATAAATACTTGAGCAGCCAATGCTGTTATTTTGCTGACGTTTAAATGGGCCATATTAAAAGAACGTAAAATTTCTTCTCTTACTTTATATTAATGAGTTACCTTTTCCTTCAGTGTAGCAACCTTTTCTGTTAGATCACTGATGACTGTTTTCTGCTCAGTGTTCTCCACTTCATATACATTGCACTTCTTTAAGGTTTCATTCAGCTTAGTATTAAAAATAAAAATCAGTGTGATAGAAATATACAGAACGGTATTAAACTTGTGATGTTAGAGTTATAATATTGAGTTTACATAACAGTGGAATTTTATACTTGAAATTAATAAACAGGGATAACTTATCACCTCAGTAAAACAAACACTTTAATGCAAAGATCTGTATTGGGTCTAAGAAATCCTTACATACAACTTAAAGTTAAGCAATTACATGAAGCAAAACAAACTGTAAAGAAACAGAGCTAAAACTTCCCTATTGCAGATGGGGAAAACTGCAATACTGCTGCTGTGACACAAATAGAAAGTTATAGCTAATGCTCACCAGTTCTGATAAATTAAATACTGTTTAACAATAACCTTAACTTACCTTTTGTTCAGTATATACAAACTTTTCACCAAGCTCTTTGTTCAGAAGATCCTTTTCTTGAAGCAGTTTCTTAAAACTTTCAATTTGTTCTAGTTTTTCTACCATGCTCAACAGTTTCTGTTCTTTTTCTCCAAGTGAAGTTTCAAGGAAGCTATTTCTGTCATTTAAACTAAGAAGAAAATACACATTTAGACAACTTGAAAAACAAAACTTGCTTTAAGTTTTCTAGACTTATTAGCACCGAACTATGAATAATTATTTTTACACTTTCCATTTAAACTTCTAAGTACAAAAATAACATTACTCCAAACAGAAGCAGGAATCAAGTAGCTCTTTTCCAAGTGTTTTAAGAAATTATACATCTCATTAGAAGTTTTAGCTTAAAGCCAAGAAAGCTAATTGTGTACAGAGTTATAATTTTACCCTTTAAGCTGCTCATTCAAGCCAGAGATCAGAATTTGATGCTTTTCTGCATCTCGCGTTTGTTGGTTGCGTAACTGGGTGAGTTGAGTTTGCAAACGTTCATTTTCATTCTGCAACAAAATAATAATGAAGAGTATTATCACATATAAACACCTAGAATAGCGTAAGATGACTGGAGTCACGAAAACCTGACTTCAGGAGACTTACATCCTACACGGTAACACAGACCGTTATTCAAGCACTTTAGCAGATATCAGTGCAAAATACAACACTAATATCACAAGTTCCAGTATGATATTAGTTCAAACAGATGCTACTCACCTTTCAGAAATACCTCCTTCAGCAATGCTAAGATAGCATGAACTCAAGGATGATTGCTGTATACCAAAAACAACACACACACTCATACTGTGTTAAGGCAGCTTACTTATCTTAACAGAGGTAGCTACTGCTTTGAAAAAATATTTTCCTCATTGGTTTCAAGACTGTACCAAAGTTGCAAAAATTTTTGCCTATGTTTTCAGGTTGAAGAAATGCAAGAACCTGCATATGGAGATTGTGGGGGGAAAAGGAAGCAAGCTTCATTCAACACAGTACAAATCTCCTACTCTAGTCACATCCACTGCACCAATTCGAAAATAAAATCAGAAAAAAAAAATCTTATGACAGCAACCAAAAAACAAAAGCAGAACACATATCCAGAATCAACAGCAAAGAGGACAAACATGGCAAACTTGTCACCTCTAATGAAAGTAAGCTAGCATTTTGGAGGAGGCAGAACACACCTGAACCGCCCTCAATAGCTGCCCTTCTTCATCTACACCAAACGTTACCTGTATTGAAAGGCTTTGTTACAAGATTCTCAAGTAAAATAATATAAGGTTGTCTTTCATCTTAAAAACATAAATTTCTTTTTTTATATATGTGCAACTTAACAGACAAAGAACTACGAATAATGCACCATGCCTGGTTTAAGTAAGAGATCAGTTGTGTCATTTAGTGAAAATAAGGTTTACAAATTATGAAACATAGTAACTTGCCAGTCAGACCATATTAAAAATAACTTTCCTGATAAATATTTACTTCACTGTTCCTTTTGGTGCCCTTATTAAAAACTTTACAATATAAATATATGGCAAATTAATATCTAGGGTTTAAATTGCATATATATAAACAGATATAAAACTATTATTTTAAATATATTTATACAGTTTCTTTTGTACAAGTGTATGTGTGTATATGTAAAAATAATAATATGCACACACACACACATTTATATAAAAGAAACCTGAAGGATGCAAGAACAGGGAGACTTATGTCAGTAGCAACAAAACCTAATTCTGGACCTTCTCACAGAGGCCCCCTACAAAGAACACTGAAAATCACATTACTATGTCTTTGTTAACGAATAACAAAGCTTACTTTCAAACAAGTTTCTCCATGTGATAACTTTTACTTTTGCTGAACAGAAGTGACAGGCTTCAACTTCAGAGCATAACATAGTATGCGCATACTCTCTGCCAACATAATTATGAAGTATAAAGCAGGCTTCAGACATTTTTGTCTTACTGTAGACTATGATTGTAAGAATACAGAGAACAAATTCATTCTATCACCACATTTTACACAACAATAGCTCACCTGAAGAGCCTCCATTCTACCTTGAAGCTGCAATCTATCTTCCAAATCCTGACAACGCTCTTCAAGAAAAAGAATTTGTTCCTGCAGTTGATTTCTTTCCAGTTCCAACTCTTCAACCACACTCCGTAAACCTATTTAAGTAAAAAAAAAAATTATTTCAAGAAAAGTCTACTAAAATTTCTGAAGTCTAGAAATGGTTTCAGCTTTTTATCCACAATTCTCACCAGCGCTGGACACAACCAGATCTCAACTATTTCCAGTGGAAATGCTTGCACTTCCAAGAACTAGATGGCAAAAGTACCCTTAACTCTTGAAAAACCAAAATAAAGTTGCATAGCTCAAGAACTCAAGAAAACCTGGCAGAAGTATTCTAAACAATACTGTGGCTCAATCAATAGTGTGCCTCATGTTACTTTAATCACAAGTTAATCGTGTACTTGCAGGATCAGATCTTAAGCAGTTATCAATAAATAAACTGGCCTGTAATAAAATTTGCAGGTGAGCCTGTTCTATTTTAACAATAAGGTGTATTTGTAGCCTCTACCACCAATATAAAAACATCTGCATTAAAAAAAATAAGAATCTGATGTTTAAATTTAAAGCATACAGCAATGGAATGCAATTATGCTTTGCAATGTAATATTTATACAGATTGGAAACACATTCACAGGAACAACACTTAAAAAAACACATGATCTTGCCACATAGATATTACATGGGCACCACGGCTCAACCAGTTCTAGTCTCTAGTCACATTTATATTCTACCGCTGAACCAAAACTAGGCAGTTCATTCAGCACGCACATGCTTTAAAATGAAAAGGAAGAAAACACAAGCCAAAAAAATTCAACAAAAATTAGAATACACCACAAATGGGTTGTTAGTTGAATTTGAAAACAAAAATACACACAAAATGCAGATGCTGTGCATGCTTTAATAAACTGTCTAGTCGCTATCACACCTGCATTAGGTGAAGTGTACTCGGGCCACCAACCTCCCATATTTTCTCCTTCAGCCGAATCAGCGCTATCCAAGGTGATGTTCAATTCTTGAAAGCATTGTTTTCTATCAAAGCTGTATTCTTCCTATGCACAAAATGTGAGAATTAAGTTTAATTTAAAAAAATAACAAAACAAAGGTATAATAAATATTCTGTTATTAAAGGTGTAGTTTCAATTAAAAGTCCTAAAACTCAGCAAAAGTTATTCAGGTGCCCAAATGTAAGTATAGTGTCCACAGAGATCCCATAGAGTAATCCGCCGTGCTTCCAGCTACTATTTCCAAAAAAGCCAAGTCTCCCCCAGGTTTTATACGGTATCTGCCAGGCCTTTGAAGACACCCTCAGGCATCTAAAGGCCAACAGATAACTGTACTCAGATACCTTAATTGGTCCCCTCATCTCTACAGTTAATAGGGTCCTCTGGATCTCTGGGTAAAGTATCGGCATTAACTAAACAAAATTATTCTTCCAATGGTATGTTAATGTGACAATGTAGTCCTAATTCTTCTTACAAAAGATCATCCTTTTTTTTTTTTGTGCAAGTTACAGCACCAACTACCTGGAAGTACACCTGAATGAACTGACACAACTTACTACTTATTCAGGAAAGTTCCACCAACAAAGATGTTTGTAAAGATTGTATTTAAACCATATGTATCTTAATATATTACGCATGTACAGAACTTCTAGCATGTCAATTACTCCAGAGGAAAGCTCATTATTTTTCAATGTAAAATTAAGTAAATTCATTACTCAGGGATTAGAGAGGTGTGATGCCATTGGAATTTCTCATCTCATTTCTTCTGGCTACATATACCAACACTAAATTTACTAAATTTTTAGTTTTCAGATAACCAATCTACATTCTTAAGCCCTTAAAGTTTTTAAGTGTAAAGCATCATATACATAACAGTACTTTCCATATTTTTATTAACATACAGTTAAAAATAAACCCTTTATCTCTTTTAACCCACCTGAAGCTTCCTGCTGCTCTGATTGGTTTTTCTTCTTGCCTGCTGCAGCCTGCCCATTCCTTGACCTGTGGTCAGTTCCTCCTCCAGCTCCTGTTGCCCTGAGACCATGGCTGGATCAGAGCAGCCAGGAAAGAACCAGTCATCCTCAATCAGTTTTGTGCCACAGGAAAGCAATCACATTTATATCAGACACTACTATACAAAAAGAGACCAGGGACAGGCCGAAGTCCCTATAAATGACTGACAGGAACGAGATTAAAGAAGCAATCCATTGCATCCACCTTGTGATTTCCCTCCAACATTACTATGTAGAACGTAACAATAAAGTCTGAGCATCTCACTAAGAAGCAGCAAGCTGAAGTCTAACTTTATTTCTTCATCAGCTCTAAATGAGGACTTTATATGGGAGATTGGAAACGGTAAGGTTATGCCAATACTAAAAAAAATGCCAACCAATTAAAATGCCAAATTACATCTCATTTCAATTTACCAGGTTAAAATATACCTAACCTGTATGATAAAGGCATCAGCTGAAACAGCTGTGGTCTTTATAATCTGAACAATCACATTCATTTTTATGAAAACAGCATGTGTCCCTTTCCACTTTAATTTTAGTATGAGCTACAAAGCCAGATAATTTGAGGAAGTCACAAGCATGTGTTACACTGCAAACCGGCATCAAACCATCTTATCGTAAATTAATAATACCATTCTTTTTAAGACAAATACAGAATCCATTGTAAATAAACACACTGAATAAATTCAGAATATGAAAGCTTAGGTATGCACCCTGTTCCTTGTTAGAAATTATTTTTCATTTAAAGTACATTCCCATCTGTTTTGTGATATGACAAAACATGTTTGGGGTAACAGATCAGGAAATAGATGTTTCATGCAAAGCAGACAAAACAGAACAGCCAGTGAAAAGAAATGAAAGTAAAGGTGGCTCCATACTTAAATTAAAAATTAGGTTAATCAGGTAATTACAAATTCAGCTTTCAATTTAACCACATCAATCCCCAGTTGTCCTCACAGCGTGCAAAATTCAGAGAACTTATGACGATGCATCTGTGAGGTAAACACCAGAACTTATTAGGAGATTCAGTCCTACCAGGAATATTCAGCTTTCATCTGAGTTGTCCAAGGATTACTTATACCAAAAATTTCATTAACACACAATTCTGTAACACCTACTAGATTTAAATTCTTCCTGTAATATTTAAAAATTACAGACTTAACATGTTGCCACACAAGATTAGAGTGAAAAAGTTAAAGAAAAAATCAATTCTTTTTTAAGTAGGACTGCTAAATTGGATTTTACTTCTGGTTGTAATCACACTTCAGCTTCAGGCACTGTCACTTTATAAACATTAATTTTACATGCCTTTGTTTATTTTCAAGTATAAATTCTACTTTTTTTTTCCCCCATTATACGTACTTCTTCAAAACCATAAAAATAAATGCCAAATTTTGATCACATGTAAACCTCTGTTTACAAGAACTGTCATTGAAGCCAGTGAAATGATTCAAGGGGCAAGCATTATTCAAGATAAGAACTTAAACCCTTCTTTGGAGAAAAAAAAAAAACTATTTCTTGTGAGTTGAAATTGAGGTAATCTGTCTTTAAATATAATCAGAACGAATAACTCACTGTCCCTTATGAACCCAAAATATTCAGGCTCCTAAGTATTTGAAATTTAAAAAAAGAATTAAGTTACTACTGCCACATGAAAAATGAAAGTATAGAAACAGGAGCTTTAGAACGATTTAGAACACTGAGGCAAGTGTTAAAATACTTTCAGTTAAATTCAGCATTGCTTTAACAACAATTAGTAAGCAAATACATTTTCTAATGCTTTACATCTGCTTAAGGAGCTTTTCATTTGCAATTATACGTAACGTAAAAACTGAAAAACTTCCCAGAAGACCTTTCTTCATTATGTGCCTGTATTTCCTTGTGTCACTATTTCCACTAAATAGCACAATCTTTAGTGGTTTGAGGAAGAAAAAAGCCTATAAAAGTCTATAAATTTAATTGATACTTTCATCCTTGACGCTTTTGCAGCTCCTCACACATTCAACCCAAAGAAGACAATCGCCACCCATGGCAAACTGTCATAGACTTTGATGGAATGAGTAGTGCGTTTATATAGTGCGTAAAATATTGGTAGCTAGTATTAATGCATGCAAAGTTCTGCAGTTTATGTGATGGAATTTGGTTTATTAAATACTACTGAACTGTACTACTAAGAATAATAACATTAATTTGATTCTTAGTCACAACCACTTGCAGCAAGCTAAGAAATTTTTCTCTAGATAAGTTTACATCATAAATATGGAGTCAGCTGTTACTACAAAGAAAAATGACAGAAAGATGATTTGGTTAATCTAAATGAAGAAACAAGTATTGCAAGGCAGAAAAAAAAGTCAAGTTAAAACCAGCATTTGTTACACATATTGCTAAAACCCACGTACCATCAATGGCAAAATCTTATAAGGTACTGTTGGCAATTTCCTCAAAAGAGGCAACAACAGAAGAAATCAGCAACAGCACATTACAAGTTGCCATTGCTGCAGCAACCTGCATGCACAAAACTGATGGGAAACTACGTTCTCACTGGCTGACCAAATCGCAGTGTAGGGTAGGAGTGGAGGGGGAAGGGACGCTGAGTGCTCATCAGGTGTAACGGCAGGAAAAAAGAAACAGAAAGGTCATGCTTATCCCAAGGGGAAAAAAAATGCAAAATTAAACACAGACTGATGCAGATGAAATTTTACAACTGTTATTAATATTGCATGTGGATCTGTAGTCACCACAGATGAGGTAACAGGTAGTTTTAATGAAGGGAATATTATGCTCTTTCAATTCCAAAGCATTACATGCGTAAATCCCTCAAAAAGTAGAGACTTGATCCTTAAAACAAACTGATCACTTAAATGAAAAATAATTCAATCGCAGATTAAAAGGAGAAGGCTCAAATTCACTAACTGGATTATGACGGTAGGTTGTGCACGTTAAAATTTGAAATTAATTCCCACACAGTTGACTAACAAGACAAAAATGCTAATAAAGTACTAGATGGCATGGGGAACAAAAAGCAGTGGAAACTACCTGAAATTTATCCAGACTTTTACAAGACTTAGTAGAAGTGGCTTCACTTTCTCATCACCTGTTTTATTAATAATTTAGAAAACTACAACACCTGAGATTATTTGAAATGTTATTTCTGTAGGTGATTTAGTATTTTTAACCAGCTTCAAACCACCGCCAGTTAATGTTATTCAGTTGACCTGTACAAGTGACACTTACTAACATACTAATAAATACTGTAAGATAGGTTTCTCATGAATTATATTTAAAGAGAAACTCTGTCTCAGATACATTCTACTAAAGCGCCACCTTCATCCATCAAATTCAAACCAACATTATAGTTCCCCACACCTTCACCAGTTGTTCTAGGCAGGCAGCTTTAATATTTCAATGGTGAACGTTTTATCCTTGATCATTCATATGCAGACAATAAGCTTTCAAAGTCAGTTCAACCAGTCCTACAGAGCAGCACCTTAGGTGGCAAACAGATGAATATATGAAAAAACAGATTCATGGAAATAGGAAAAAGCAGAAATTGCAAATTAAAGCAATTTCACTAGCTCTATAAATCTTACTGCAGAAATGTGTCATGTTGGTCCACTATCAATTCAGTCTGAAATACAGCAGATGCGCGCGCGCACACACACAATATATATGTATAATGTATAAATATCATCATTCTCTCGTAAATAAACCAATTCACCTTCTCTCTCCTCCTCAATCTGAGCCATTCTCAAGGCCATGGCAGATTTCTCTTCTCTGACTTGATCACGGGACTCCTCTGACTCTGGTATGTTCTCTTGCCACTCCAGGAGCTGACTCTGCAATTCATCCACACTACCTGATTCACTGGCCTAAAAAGACAAATTGCGCATGAAAATATATTTACCAAATCCCACTGCAAACATAAACCGCATTTTAAGTTGACAAACCATTCACAGAGAAAAAAATACATTATAATTCACCACTTTGCATAAATAAAAACTGATTAAAGTGATGGTAATTGCTACTGTAGATTACGTAAAAAGTAAGCCTCACCATTTCGTCAAATACCAAAAATACTACTGCCAGTTGCACTTTTAATCTGCAATGTTTTTAAATGAAAAATGGCTTTTTAAACCAAAACATTTGTAGCCCATTTTCATCTTAGCAACATTTCAAAGTAAAAAAATATTCAACTGTCTTTATGTGGGATAACAAATCTCTACCAACTTCTTTCCATGAACAGAATAAAAAAATAAAAAAAATAATTTAAACACCCCACACACACACATCTGCTCCACAACATTTTGAAAAAATATTAAATTTTTAGCAAAATATAATTTATCATTTCAAACCAGCTCCGCTGTTAGGACTGTACAAGGTTACTAATGTGTACTGTTAATCTAATGCCCTCTGGCAGAATTTTCTTTGTTATCTGACCGGCACGTTTGTCAAGGTTACAGCTATTACTCGTTTCTGAAAGCTACTCATACTCTATACAAAATAACAGCTACATTTTGATGACTCATGTTAAATGTAACTAAATAAATAATAAATTGCTTAGAAAAACATAATTTGAGGTACATGGAAAAGTAAGTAGAAATCAATCTTTTCAAGTAATTCAAAATCTGTCAGCTTATTATCCAACTGAACAGCAACTGACACCAACAATTCCATATGTCACTACATTAATTTTAGCTCCAAAATCCAGCTAACACAATTTTCAAAGTCTAATTAGCACTGTTAGTTAATCAGTAACTCATACAAATAAATTTTAAAGATAACCTGTGAAGCTGCCCTTTTTGTAACTTGGTCCAGATCAGCTTGCAATTTCCTCTGCTGCTCTTCATAGACTTCCAGCTTAGCGAGCAATTCTTCTATAAGAATTGAATAAATTTCGCTCGTTAGGAAACAAAACTAGGAAAAATCAATAAATCAAATAAAGATTCAAAATGAAAATTCAGATGACAATTAATTTCAGTTAGAAGACCTCTGTTGGGCTGTGTTGTCCGTCTACCCACAAAACAGACTTCTTGATTATTAAACATTGTTAAATGCTTTAAATCTAACCTACTAACAATTTAAGCTGATGAACTAAAAATTCAACCATTTTTCATTTACAGAAATGATGTAAGAGAAAATAACACAAGGTGAAAGAGAAAAATCTCTCAAAGAGCTCTAAACTGAGGTTCTAAGCAAAAATTCTCTCTCAAAACTTTACAAAAGAGAAATATTTGAGAAAATTATTAATTTACTTGAAACTCACTGCTCAAAAGTTTATTGTATATATTCTCCTTCTAAGAAGGTGCCTCTTCCACTTACTGGAGAAGTTTACACACACTCTGCCTAGGCCAAAATGCAACAAGTATTACGTGCTGGTAGATTTACAGAAGGAAAAGCTGAGCTGTAACTCTCAACAACAACACACGGTACTTAAGACAAAGTTGCATGAACTTACTGCAGAATCTGTTTGAAAACAAAGATATACTTTGAAAACAAAAACGAGAAAATTCATCTATCTTTGTCTCTTTACTTTGAATCATCTGCAAAAGAAAATTAGATTTTTTTTTACCATTTTGAGTTCTGATTTCATATAATGATTGCAGTTTTGACTGGAGTTCTTCATTTTCAATTTCTAATTCTGAGACACGATTGCTTAAGGCAGATACATCATTGTTCTTTGATGAAAACTAGAAGAAAAAATAGTTATGAGTTTTTCCAATGCACTAAAACACCAGAAACACAGAAAAGTCAGTGCCATTTCTTTTTCCTCTGATTTTTAGTAAGATATAGAATACCTGTTTTTCTAGTATTTGAAAGTGCAATAAGCTAGCTAATCTCTAACAAATTTACTACGGAATGCTGGTAACACCAGTTTGTACTACTTTTTGTCCTGTATTCATCCTGTATCAACACTTCATGTCCATTCAATTTTTATGCATTTATTCATATATAGATACTTTGAATAAATTATTTTAATATTCTGTTTAGCCCATATTTTATTTTTTCAGACAAAACTTCCAGCAGAGTAGGTTTAAAACAGGTGGGTAATATTAAACATGTTACACATACATTTTTTAGTTCATCCTCCAGTTGTTTAATTCTTGATTTAGACCAAGCCTTCATTTTCAGAAACTTTGCCTCAGATCTGCTTGCTTCTTCCGTTTTCAATTTCACTTGTGCTAAGAAACAAGACAGAAAAAAAATATTTAAAACTCTAGAAGAGAATTATTACAAGACTTGTGCTTAGTTCCTTTAGCAACGGGAAGTTATACACTCATACAAGACAACTGCATTTAAAGAAAAACAAACCAGTAAGAGATGTAGTGAGAAATTTACAGTTCATGTGATTATCTTGGTATTCCTATAACCTCCATCACTGTAGTATTTGCGTATAGATACCTCTTAATTAACATGGCAATCACTCCTCCACCAAATTTAATGTAGTCCTGCCTGCAAGAGGTATGAAAATGGCATACAATACATAACAGTATGGGGCAAGGGAAGCTTTCGTACATAACAACTGTTTAAATAGAATACCTTCTAAATCTTCCATCTTCTCTTTGGTTATAGACTCCAGATCTCTAACTTCGTTTGAGTTAGTCTGTCCACTACCGCTTAATTCTGCCACTTGTTTCTTAAGCTGAAACAGGGCCTGATCTTTCTCTTGCAGCTCAGTTTCATGTTTCTCTTGAATTTCATGCAGTTCAGCATTATATTTCTCCTTAACTTTTGTCATTTCAAGCTCATGTTTCTCCATCATGTCTCTCAACTGGGCTCTCATTACATGTTTCTCAGCATCCAGTTTAGACTGGAGGTTTTCTTTTTCAGACAGAAGACGTTTCACGTTTTCATTAATCTCCTGTAAAAAAAAATCTTTTAATGTTAATGCAAAGTATTTTTAGCACCACTGTGAAATATTACATCTACAATGTATGTAGGAATACAGAAATCAGTGCTACTGTTGGTAACCTGTCTCTACTACAAAAGCTACCCAGCTCTGACTTTCCAAGACAGAATTAAGGACTTCAGGAAACAGCATCATTATTTGAGTGCAAACTATAATGCAACCCCTGCCATAGGTGAAAATGAATTAAAAAAGAATGTTTGGTTCTATGGACTATAAAAAGAAAAACCCAAAAACTGGAAGCAGATCTTTAACAGTGATCTCTAAGATTAAGAATGCTCACTACAATGCCACACAGCTGTTGTCACCTACACCCATTAAAATTAAAGCTGACAGACTGATCTAGTTCTTTTTTTACAATGTTTTGTTGCAAATTAGTTTTCTGTTAGTGCTTATTCTACTTTTACTGCCTCTACATTAGTTATTTTAAAACATACAGAGGTAGAAAAGATTACAGATCACTTTAACAGAGTAGGCTTCTCTCATTAGACCTGCTGTTCAAAAAACCTGCTGTCATGGTACATGAACCTAGGAAACTGTCCAAGTGAAGAAGCTGTGCAGAACAGCAGAGGGAACATTTCCAAAATATGGTTAAAACTGCTTATGTAAATAAAGAAAGGTTTCCTGCTATTTTAATACTAAAGCTGAGATTCCATTACAGTTTAAAGTGCTTTAAAATTCATGTCAGTCAAACCTTCCCCCCTCAGGGTGTACATTTCTATCCCCTCAATGCACTAGCACTAGGTACCATTAGTTCTTGCAGAGCACAAGTGTAGTAAGATGCACCTAGCCCAAAAGAAAACAAAACAAAACAAAACCAAAACAAAAACCAAAGCAAACAAAAAAAAAAAACCCAAGCAAAACCAAAACCAAGACAAACCCTTGCATATGACAGGAGGCATAAAAAAATGAGAAGGACAAATGAAACAAGCTTAACCTACCACAGATCTTAATTTCCTGAGCTGGACTATCCACCCTGCTACATAGTTGTAACTACTGATTTTGATTCTGGCAGTCCACTTGGCAAGAGGAAAATTTGTTGGAAATAATACAGCTAAAATGTTAGACCTGGCGCCCCACACAGGCTATGAAGTATCTGTTTCAGCAGAGTTCCAAAAGCCTGAGAGACTGCAACATTCTTCTTCCTACATTACTGAACTGAAGCAGCAGCATTCAAAATCTATAATCAGAATTCATGCTAGGTGCTCAAACAGGAAGAATCTTGATAAGGTATTGCTTTTTCCATCAGAAGAATCACATAAAACATTATTAGCATATTTAAAAGGCTCTCAGAGTACTGCCTAAATATGTTATGAAAAATTGTCTTTTGTGCACACCCAAAAAGCTTTTGCAACTTATATTTGACCTGATAAGTTTAGTTGTGCACATATTCTTACTTTCAACTGCTGGTCCTTGGCATCTAGTTCTTTTTGCAAGACATCGATCACCTGTGTCCTTCCCAGCATGACTTCTTCCTTTTCATGGAGCTTCTGTTTCAAGGCCTTTAGTAGCTAGAAAAAAAAAAAAATCAAGCAATCAATAAAGGAGTTAGAACTTTCAGAAGAGAAAGAAAAAAGACTTATCTTTATTTTCCCAACCAGACATTTGAACTGTGCCACAGAGGTTAGTAATTACACGATTCCAAATCCCCATGTCTAACTAAATCAAAGCAAGCTATTGAGTTCCAAAGAAACATACGTGCTCTAGGTCAGCACTTGCATCAGATTTAGCAGCTAATTTAAAGAGCTCCTGCTCATGCTTTTCTCTTTGTACTTCCAGTTCCTTTTCCTTTTCCTGGATAATATTTTGAAACACACGTACCTAAAAACAAACGAAAGGAAATATTAAACCAGTCCACAAAGGTATAGTATAAGTGTACTGAATTAACTGAAAGGTACAGAAAGAGAATGTGTTCTATCTAACGTCTAAATTTTGCTTCCACTTAACATTAAATTTAATTATCAGTCAGTATTACAGATGTCTGTACTGCATGCAGATAAACCTCCAACTTACATAAAATTTGTCTCGATTCCACAGTAACAGACTTTAAATGAGAAGCACACTGCCATTCATTTTCTTTAATATCACAGATCTTCACCTCTCTTCTTTGGATACCATTGGTCCAAGACTTCTAATTTCTGAAAGACTGCATGATCATGTTCATTTCTAGCAAGCTTCCATCGATTAAGCCCAAACGGCAGCTTCTTTCACCACCTCTTCTACTCAAGAACGTAAATATTTTCTCAATGTGTTTACTTACATTTTCCATAAATGTAGCTTCTTTTCCTTGGAAACGCTCTCTTTCTTTACTCTGAATATTTTTAAGACTCTCAATCTCTTCTTGGAACAAGCTACATTTTTCTTCACTGTCTCCAACCTTCTTGGTAAGGTTCTGAACTAGAATCTGCATGCTTTGCAGTGATGACTCTTTAACAGCCAGCTGATTCTTTAGAATGCAAATTAAAAACAAAAAGATAAAGCAATCATCATGAAGCCACCTCCTAGCCCTTTCCTCAGTTAAAGCAACATTAAACTCAAAATTCAGGTTTGGTTTTAATTTGAATGAAATTTGTCAGCAGCTTCTGAAGTTGATACTAATACAGATAAATGATACAGGTAAAAGTAGTAAAAATATAGATCTACTAACATAATGAAAATAATCAGTAAAGAATTTTTATTCACATTAGTAAGTGCAGAGGATTTGTGCTTCAGAGAAGGATCCACCGTAAAATACATCAGAATTCGCTGATTTCTTGAAACCTCTATGGAGATTTCATATTTGAGCTGCTAATATACCTTCAATTCTTCATTGGGCAAGAGTATTTCATTGGCAGGACCACTTGATCCACACGCTATCTGTAAATCGATGATATAAGCATCTCTTTCAGCTAACTTCTTTTCTTTCTCTGCCAGCATGGCATCCATTTCAGCCCCACGGCAGCGCTGGGCTTCCAGTTCAACATTCTGGAAATGAAATGACAGCACTGCTTGTAATCTGTACTTCCACCATCTACAGCACAGAAGAACAGTTTGAATTATTTCCCAGTTGCCTAATGGGCAATTTCTTTTTTTTCAGTCCTAATGGGACTGAAAAAAAATATATAATCAAATTTAGAACTTGGTTCAATTTTAACTGTAATCTTTAATTACTGAGCCTTTCTCTCTGAAATTCTGCAGCATTCACATTGCTGCCACTTTCCACAGTCAACAGTCATGTTCACAAAACACATCACTGCACAGAACAAAGCTACAAACCATAACATGAAATCATTCCTTGCCTACATTTTCCTGTTACAACTTGTTTTTACAATAAGAAAAACTGAAGCAAAACAGCAGGGTTTTTTTCAAAATGTAAGATTCAAATATAACATTAACCCACAAAGTTCATATTTGTGTATCCTATTCCATTTCTTTTCAAATGACTACAAAAAAGCACGGTTGAAGATTCACTGCTCACTGAAGACACGGTGACAGAACTGTCACTGTGCTTGCTCTGGCAGGTTGTAGTGTATAACCTTCTCTGTTTACTCAAGAGAAAACTCTCTCCGAATACCTGTTTAGTAATATAACATATAATTAAATATATAAATATAATATATATAAATAA